GGGAATTAAGGAGTACTCCCTCCATCCCTGAATAAAGCTTTGTAGTCGATAGATTAGCTAATCTAGGAGTGGTCCTCGAAGAGAAGGTGTCTTATTTCATTGAGCCTCCAATTGAAATAAGGAAACTTCTTTGGGAGGACATAGTTGGGGTTACCTCACCCCGTTTTGTTAAGTAGGTTTATTTTTCTGCGTTTGTGTTCGGGATTATACCCTCTTCTGCATAAAAAAAAATTAAGGAGGAAATAATAAGACAAATAACAATAATTAGATAATACAATGGGAAGTACAAAACATTAAATATGTTTTTAGCGAAGATAAATTAGAGATTACTCATGACATGTCATCAATCCTTTGCAAAAAAAAGGACCAATCACATGCTCCTAATTGAAAATTTTTAACCAATCATATTCATTGTAATTTGGCACAAGGATTCTGAAAAATTAAAGACTGAAAAAGTACATTAGCCAACCAAACATTGAAACATATAATTAAAAGCGGAATGTAAATACTTTAATTATACATTAAAAGTACAACTGAAAAAGAGAGTGTATTTGGGATATTTAGAAGAAAAAAACTTACTAAAAATAAAAAGGTGGAATGTAATTTTGAAATACCCAAAATAAAAAGGAGGAATGTAATTTAGAGAAGGAGGGAGTACCTATTATTGATGATATTAAAAGTCAAAACTTTACATGGGCAAACATATGTACATGGAAATGAAACAATAAAAAAGATACTCCGTACATCAAAAGTGTTCTGTACAATAATAAATTAAACAGAGCTTTTTTGGTGCAGTAGGCCACACCGTGTGGCCTGCTGCCAAATCAGTAAAAATAACGGATTACGCAGTATAATGGGGTTATTATTCACTCGCATAACGGGGTTACTGGTTTTGTCAGGGTTACTTGTATTTTTTTTTTCAGGGGTTACTTGTATTTTTTTTTTCAGGACTTGTATTTTTTTTTTCAGGGGTTACTTGTATTTTTTCTTTCAGGGGTTACTTGTATGGTTTATTCAGGGGTTACTTGTATTTTTTTTTTGAGGGGTTACTTGTATGGATTACTTATTCAAGGGTTACTTGTATTTTTTTTTTCAGGAGTTACTTGTATTTTTTTTTTCAGGGGTTACTTGTATTTTTTTTTCAGGGGTTACTTGTATTTTTTTTTCAGATGTTACTTGTATTTTTTTTCAGGGGTTACTTGTATGGATTACTTATTCAGGGGTTACTTGTATTTTTTTTTTCAGGGGTTACTTGTATTTATTTTTTTCAGGGGTTACTTGTATGGATTACTTATTCAGGGGTTACTTGTATTTTTTTTCAAGAGTTACTTGTATTTTTTTTTTCAGGGGTTACTTGTATTTTTTTTTTCAGGACTCGTATTTTTTTTCAGGGGTTACTTGTATTTTTTCTTTCAGGGGTTACTTGTATGGATTATTTATTCAGGGGTTACTTGTATTTTTTTTTCAGGAGTTACTTGTATGGATTACTTATTCAAGGGTTACTTGTATTTTTTTTCAGGGGTTACTTGTATTTTTTTTTTCAGGGGTTACTTGTATTTTTTTTTTCAGATGTTACTTGTATTTTTTTTTCAAGGGTTACCTGTATGGATTACTTATTCAGGGGTTACTTGTATTTATTTTTTTCAGGGGTTACTTGTATGGATTACTTATTCAGGGGTTACTTGTATTTTTTTTCAAGAGTTACTTGTATTTTTTTTTCAGGGGTTACTTGTATTTTTTTTCAAGATTTAGTTGTATTTTTTTCAGGGGTTACTTGTTTTTTTTTCAGGGGTTACTTGTATGGGTTAATTCAGGGGTTACTTGTATGAGTTATTTATTCAAGGGTTACTTGAATGAATTACTTATTCAGGGGTTACTTATATGAGTTATTTCAAAGGTTACTTGTATGAATTACTTATTCAAAGGTTACTTGTTACTTATTCAACGGTTACTTTTAAGCCCCATACCAAACCGGATAACGCCCTGCAAGTAACCCTTGAGCAAAACTAATAACACTCTACAAGCAATCGCTAACCAAACCAGTAACACCCTACAAGTAACTCTTGAGCAAATTAAAATTAGTAACACCCTACAAGTAACCCCTAACCAAACCAGTAACACCGTACAAGTAACCCCTGACCAAAACCAGTAACACCCTACAAGTAACCTGACCAAACCAGTAACACTCTCACCAAACCAGTAACACCCTACAAGTAACCCCTAACCAAACCAGTAACACCCTACATGTAACCCCTGAGCAAACCAGTAACACCTACAAGTTCTCATAACCAAACTAGTAACACCCTACAATTTCTGACGTAGAATGTTTGATCTAAGATTCCACGAAGAAAACGAGCTCACATTTCTTTGGTTCTCATCAATTTCACTACTTTAAATGTTGTTGATGATTTTAAGGATAATTAATCACAATTTTTCACAGCAATTTAACACCCAATTTCTACAATTTCGGGCTTTAATTGCAGCAATTTGGCAAAGACGAGAGAAAAAAATGGGTGGAGTAGAGATATGATTGTTGGTGATGTGTGGTTTGGCTTGAAGAAGAAGCTAAGAAAAAAGGAGAGAGAAAATGGGTATAGTAGAGATATGGTTGTTGATGATGTATGGTTTGGACAAGAAGATAAGAAAAGAATAGAGAGAAGAGTTATGGTATTTTTTTTAAAAAAAAAATAATAAAATTTGGTGTGGCCAGCCACATACAAAAATTTGTGTAAATTAAATGGAGTAATTAATTTTTGAATGAGCATTGCTCATTATGATATTCTAAATGAACATATTGTCTTTCGAACTAAGCAAGACCTTTCTAGAATTGAACAAAGTTCTTCATAACAAGCATATTACAAGTCAACAACGCGTTTATCATAAGTGATGTGGCGGGGTTAAACTTAATCTCCACGTCATTGCCTACCTTTTGTTCTTTTCTAATTTCCCATATAAATTCACAAAATCTGCAATATTTTTATACAACAGTACCAAGAATCAACCAGTAAACACAAAAAAGCAATATTTTGCTATTTCAAAAACTTTCTTATAAAAAAAAACCTTGAATTTGTTAGCAAAAATATTTATTTTGTTCAAATACTACTATGAGCTTGAGGTACTTAGGGAGGGTGTTGTACCAAGCTGCAGGAAATACGAGGGTGGTGTTGCAAGGCACCAAACTAGACCAAGCTTCTTCTAAATGTGATTCTAACTTCATCATGTCTTTCAAGGATTCCTCCGGCTTAAACCGCCACACGAGGCGGTTAACCACCGATGCTAAGGTTGCTACCACCACCTCCGCGGATAGGCTTGCCGAGGAGTCTCTCCGGACTGTCTTGTATTTGAGTTGTTGGGGTCCATTTTAATTAATCATTCAATAATTATTCTTGTAAATATATATACTTCGTATATATTTGTAGGGTAATTTTTCTTTGTACGTACCTACGTACTTTTTTTTTTTGAAAGAAACGTACGTACTTGTATATTATCTTAATTAACTTTATTTCTATTATTACTGCGGAATTGTGTATAAATATTACTTCAATTCGAATCATAATATAAATATATAAAAGTGCATTTATTTTTGACATTAGCAATATTGATGACGATGTCAAGTTTGCAATAAAAACTAGTTTGTGGCTTGGGCGATACTTCGGGTATTTAACTTACATTATGTTTAAATACTTGTAGACATTATTATGTATAATTGCTTAATTGGTATTGAATATAAAAAAAATAACATCTAAGGAAACAATCATTAGTATGTGATTGATTTCTTACAAATTAAATTAATTGAAATTTAATGTGAAGAGATTTAGAAGTTAAATTCTATAGGAAAATTAAACACGAGGGTTAACATATGAAGAGTCTTGAGTGATGATACGTTGGATGACACATAACAATGACATGACGCCAAATCACATTAAGGGAATAATGACACATGACAATAGCATGTTATCCCTTTGTGTTTTAATAATATTATTATAGAGAAGCATAAATGAACTTCTAGCAAGCAAGGTTGGTTGATCTTCCAGGAAGTATTGCATAGAAGTAGTCAAGTAGTTAATTACTTAGATTATTTGTAAAATTGCAAATCAATATACCACAAAATATAAATTGATAAAGGCTAAAAAGCATTCCCTTTTTCAATTCGATCTTCATACCTCTTCAAAATCACACACGATACGATATGATATTGACATATGAGACTATGATCAGTATTCACATGCACAAATCTAATATAGGCATTTATACAAATTTAATATCTGACATTAATGAACCTACTCCGTATTATTTATAAGGATCTTCCTGAATGAGCTATATCGCGTCTAACTGATTAAGTAGCCTTTAGAGCATAAGGCCTAAATTTCTTGTTCATCCCTTCAGCTGAACTATGAGGATGGGTGAGTATGCGTCTCCATCCTTTATTATGGGCAAAATTGGTTAAAGGGTGAGTCAATTAATATAATTATTATTCTTTTTCTTATAGAAGTACGTACAATTATGTTTGAATATGATACAAACAATCAACATTATAACTGATGCTTAACTTAATTTAATGTAAAATATAGGCCTTTTCAACTAACTGTATTATCTTAGTGTATACTCCATATTTTCAAGCTTGCCATAAGGTACGGAGTATTCTTTGTAAAATATACCGAGTATAAGTATTAAACAAGAGTAGTTGTATTACAAACGTTGGCATATCAGCATTGTTTTTGGATGGGAGGAGTAACAATTAACTAATCAATTTTTTTTAAGAAAAAATTTAGGTGAATCGGACTCACAGTGAGTCCAATGTATATGTGATATTTAATAATAATCTAATATCTGACATTAAATTACTAATGTCAAATATTAGATTATTATTAATATCAGAATATTAAACTCATGGTGAGTCTGATAAACGCTTTTATTATTTTATTTTCGAACTTGAAATATGAAATATTACTACATTAGGTTGTTTTTATATCCGGACAAATGCCGAATTTGCAAGTAACATTATCTACATATTCTATCTTTATTTATTCTTCATTCATTCCTACCACACAAAACTTTGCACCTATTTCACCAATTACTACATACATACCCCAAACATTCTTCTACAATCAACACAAACGTCCATAATGAGCATACTCAAACCTTGCAAATACTCCAATTACAATAACCATAATTCATCATTATTTCAGTCCATCAACTCTAAGTTTGCATTAAAAACGATAAACACGGTTAGATTTTATAGGCCAAATGTTAATAAACTTTGTACTGTTAGAGCTAGCTATGCCGGCGGCGAAGCTCGAAACAATGAAGATGGAGCTGAAAGGAAAAGCTTTCTTTCTCTAGAAGAGGCCGGTTTAGTAGAGATTTCTGGTTTGAGTGTTCATGAACGTTTCCTTTGCAGATTAACGGTATGTTTTTTTTCTCCTCTTTCCTTTTTGTTTTAGTAAGGGTATGCTTAATTTGCTAAGGTATACTTGTTGGTGACCATAACTTTTTTTATTTGAAATACTATATCCGTTAAATATTATGTGCAACTTTGGAATATTTTATAACGAAGGTAGTAAATTAATTCATTAATAAAAAGTCATACAACATTTATAAATGAAATATAAATTAACAATTACATAAAATTAAATGGTATACTTAACTTATTAGTGAGTATGGTGACCATAAGTCTATAACTTGTACACGTTGGTCGGGAAAAAAAAAATATATATAATAAATTGTACTAGGATTAACCTATATGTCTCAAATTCAAATCAATCCGGAGTATGACAAATTTTGTGATTTATTTCTTGAATTATATTTTATCTTTTAATACAAGTATATCAGATAGGTACAAATTAAATATAATCATGAAGGTAAAATCCAATACAACTAAAAAATTGAATTTTTATTCTTAAAAGAATGGGTTCAATGTGGATTATAATGCATATTAAAAAAGTTGATGTTTTAAAAATAAATAGGGTAATGATAGTTTAAAAATTGAAATGATGTGGCAGATATCATCTTTGAATCTACTGAGAGTGATAGCAGAGCAAGAAGGATGTTCAATAGAAGAACTAAATGCAGGAAGAATTTGTGATTGGTTCTTGAAAGATAAGCTCAAAAGGGAGCAGAATATTGGCTCCGCTGTACTCCAATGGGATGACGATGACCCTTTTGCTGGCCAATTTTAATTACTTTGGTGTATTACTAATATAATAATTATTATTATCATATCATGGCATTTAATTTCATCAATTTTTTTTTTTTGTTTATATAGTCTTATTCCGATCCATACTAATTTGACATGTTAGAACATTATCAGTGAAAAAGTGTTACATGACATCCTAAAATAGTTACTCGCTCCTTCGGGAAAAAAAATTGAAAAAATTTGTGTATGATAGATACTTCATGTACTTCGTATTTGACTAAGGTTATGCAGGCATATATGACGTGATAATCATAGTTATAAAGATGACATTGGCCGAGTTATGACACGACATGCCGTAGCATGACATGCATGCTAACTTATCTGATCTCTTATTAGGTCATGTTCTCTCCGCTTTATAAAAATAAAGTAAAACAAGTTCAATAAAAATAAAATAAGTTAAGTATAAACAAGTTAATAAGTAAAATTAATTTAAATATTCAATAAAAATCAAACTTTCAAAAACAAATAAGTTTTAAGTAGTTTAATGAATTTAATTTCAACAAAAATTATCCAAATTTAATAGAATTGGAGACCCCTAGATGACACGCTGAATTCACCCTTTTTAAAATTTTGTTGGCTTTGCCTTTTGCCATTTGCACACTACATTTATTTCATGTTTTGGAGCCAAGAGCTGATCATTTTATTAGAAATTAATCAAGATATCGAACCATTTTCTAGCATTGTGATGCACTTGCTATACATGCACTATTAGAGGCTTAGAGCAATAACACTAGGAAGTTTTTGGACTTATAATTTCATTAGTACAATTTAAGCTACTATCATATATAGGGCTGAGCAAAACTACCCGAAAAACGGTCGATCCGTAACCGTTCCGAAAATTAGGGTACCCGATCCGATAACCATAACGGTTCGGGTACCCGTTTCGATAATTTGTTATCGGGTATGGTTATAGGTATCATTTTAAAATTAACGGTTACCCGATCCGATCCGATAAGCATTTTTTTTTGCTTTTTTTCCCTACTTAAATCTATTAATATAAATCTAAACTCTTACTTTACTTCATAATCACTTAATAATATCAATGATTAGTAATATTATTAATAATTTGGTCAAGATCATATGGTATTGTTTTTAATCAGTTGTAAATTATATCATAATAACTATACAATTAAGTTTAATTATCATTATTGGATATCTTATTGGGTACCCGACAACCGATCCGAAAATCCGGGTACCCAAACTTATTGGTTCCGGTTATGGGTATCAATTTTAGTGATTTTGGTTATCGGGTACCCGAACCGTTAATACTAACGATACGGGTACCCGTCTCATGCTCACCCCCTGATCATATAGTATCAATTATCAAATATCAATATCACTTAATAAACTAAGCTAAGTGCACATGTTGTGCAATATTGCCTTAGCTTGCATGCTTGCTAGCTTGGCAAATTTTAAGGGTTCCAAATAATATATATCCAACAATCCCGGGTAATATATGTATCCATCTGAGATTTAACCGTTGTGGCTTATCATTGGAAGGGTAATTATTAATTTAAAATAATCTCATCTTGAAAATTCAGCGTGGCACAAAAACCTACACAAGTTGTAACCATTATTTTTATGCCGTTAAAATTACTCTTTTTCTTTTTGTAATTGTTATACCTACTAAAATCAAGAGAGCATACCAATTTAAGTATAAAATATGTTAATTACATTACAATAGAAAAGTAACAAACGTTTAGGCCACCTAATTATTCCTTTAAAGTAAGTAATCAAGCACCTCAATCAATATTGTGAAAACTACTTACCTTCCAAATTAGAAGACTTTGCAAGCTTTCAACTTCAGTTTTATTAAAAACCCTGTGGTTTAAACTAATTAATAACTTGTCAATTTTAGCTCATAAATGTACCTCTCAATCTCTACCAAGTACCAACTTTCATTTTTCAACTACCTTTCTATTTGTCTATTTCGATTGCAAAAACATTTATTTGACATTCAACTCCATTTATACTACCATTCCAAATTTGTTAAAATGTGATTCGTTCAAGTATCACCTATACCTATTTAAACATTTATTTTGTAACTTGTTTATCAATTCTGAATTTCTGATCACTTGTCACCATTTGTCATAAATTAAACTATCACGACAAGACACAAATTAAATTCAAACACCGAATTATATATTTGTACTTCCCATAACTAACCTAATTAATCTCTCAACTTCCGCCGAATTATATTGAAGTATATATTTTTGACAAAGCGGATTGTATTAGTTTTAAAATCTCATGTTTTAACTAACAATTTTTCAACAACCAATACCACTCACCTCACCATTTTAAACTAGTTTTATTGCACTAAAAATACCACCTAAAATGGTCTATGTTAATAATTTCAAACAATGTCTATTTTAATAATTTCAAACAATGTTGAATTTTTGATAATAAAAAAACAAAAGTTTTGTTTGATTTTTGAAACCAAATTAGCAATGCATGGTTCGTGCAGGCGGATGCACGATCCACATGGTGCATCTCTTCCAAAAAAAGCGGAAAGAACATTGCATAGAAATATAAAGAACATTTAGTTAAGTGAAAAGAACATATTATAGAATTGTAAAGAACATTGTATAGAATGTAAAGAACATTTCGTTAAAGTGCAAATAACATGTTATAAAATTGTAAAGAACATAACGTGCAATTAAATAATGTTCTTTATCTTCATGTTCTTTGATTGTCAGAATAATGTACTTTTATTTGTGACATATGTTAATTGTTTAATTTGAAATGTTCTTTGAATTTTGTCTTTAGATTATGGTGGTTGAATAAAAATAATGTTCATTACATTATATTATCATTAAAGGTGATAAAAAATTCGGGTCGGGCTGGGCTATAACATAATATCTCGTGTCCAAAAAACCCGAAAAATGTAGTGGGTTTTTCGGCTTTTTTCGGGCCGAGTTTGGATTTTTTAACTAAAAATGCATTTTTAGGCTTGTCTAAACCCGCCCTATTTTCAAGTTGGATCGGGTCGGGTCGGGTTTGGTCGGGCCGAAGTTGATCACCTCTAATTATCATGTTTTCAATTAATATTACGGATGTTCTTTAGATATATATATAAAGAACGTGAAGTTGGATGTTTTTTTTACAAAATAGGTATATGTTCTTTATAAAACAACTATATGTTCTTTACAATACAACTCTAATTTGGATTTTCGGTTTTTTTTCGGTCCGAGTTTGGATTTTTTAACTAAAAATGCATTTTTAGGTTCGTCTAAACCTGCCATATTTTCGGGTTGGATCGGGCTGGGCCGGGTAGGGTCGGGCCGAAGTTGATCACCTCTAATTATCATGTTTTTAATTAATATTAAAGATGTTCTTTAGATATATATAAAGAACATGAAGTTGGATGTTTTTTTTTTACAAAATAGGTATATGTTCTTTATAAAACAATCATTACAATACAACTATATATCATGTTCATTATCAAAAAACTATATGTTCTTTACAAAATAAATGTATATTTTTTACTGAACAACGAAATGTTCATTTCGCGTTTTTGAAGAGAAAACGGATGCACGGATCATCGTGCATCCGCGTCCATAGAAAAAATTTCACCAAATTAGTGTTGGATTAGTAGAAAGTTAAAGTCTAAAACCGCAATCTCCTCCCTCACACAGTCATCATCATCATCTTCCCCACTCCCCGGCCCACCATTTCCTTTTTCTCTCTCCAAAGTTGAAGAAAAAGCAGAAACAACTCAAACCAAAAAGTCTTCTTCAACTCCATTTTCTCTCTCCTCTTCCAAAATTAAAACAACCCATTTCAATTTAAAACCAGCAAAAAAAACCCAAAAAAATTGAAGGAAAAATAATCAAAATTGAAGCTTTTTAAATGGTGTAAAAATGGCGATAACTGAGGAAGGATCTGAAGGAGGAGGAAAAGTTTGGGGTCTTTTTAAGATCCCATTTCGTCAAAATAATCCCTCAATTTCATCTTCTTCTGTAACTTCTGCTAATTCTGTAATGATGCAAAGTGGTCATAATCACAACAATAACAATGGTGAAGGCTCAAATTCTCAACCTGCTGCTCCTTCTGTTACTTCTGTTGCTAGATCTTTGCTTCCTACTCGACGACGTCTTCGCCTTGATCCCTCCAACAAGCTCTATTTCCCTTGTATACTCTCTTTCTCTCTCATTTGACTCATTTCCTCAAGTTGACTTTTTAATTTTTTAATAGAATTTTTTATTTTGTGTTTTTGAGCATTTTTGTGAATTGGGGTTTTGTTTTAGTGTTGATCATGAATTTTAATTTTGGCAAATTTTGGTGATTATGTTCTTGTGAAATTTGACAAAATACAGTTGTTTTTCATGGAAGTAGGGCTGTAACATTTGTTTTACAAAAAGAAAAATAGGGTTATACATTGTATGAATGTTGTTCTCAAATATTCACATTGCTAGGGCTTTGATTGATTGTTGTATTGTTTGATTGACTAAGTGTTGGTACTTGGTTGACGTTGGATGACTATTTGGTCTGAATTTTATAAATTCACCACAAGTTGATGTCATTCAAAGCTTTGATTTTTTCACCCTGAAATTGTGCTTATCTAGAATTTATTCATTGTATGAGTTCATAAAATTATAAAAGCATGACCTAATGTTAGAGTTTTGAGTGCGCGTTGCATGTTCCAAATTATGTCGTATCGGATTAAGGAAGGTTCCATACTTTGATTGAGGGTGAAGGGTGCGTGCCGCTTGGAGTAATGATAGGCTGTGTTGATGTTTCTGCCAAAGATAAACTGGTTAATGGTCTCCTGTCGTTAATCTCTCCCGTTTGATTAGACATAGTCAAGACATTTGATTCTAACTTGACTTGTTTGATTTGAGTATTAAGTATTTACTGGTGTAACTTCTTGAATGAAAATATTTTAAATCTTGTTCAACTTCATATAGGTTACACTTCACTATATGCCATGAGTCATTATAACCCTTTACGTAGAAGCTACCACGAGTCTTTGTATGCAATATAAGTCTAGTGCACGTGTCACACAATAATTGATAATGGAGTTTTCAAATTATAGTGGGAATTGTTTTGTAGAAAGAGTCGGGC